TTACATTTTAAAAGCAAGGAGTACCATCTGTGAGAGTGAATTTAGCGATTCGCAAGAGCGATGAAGATGGGCACCTCTTTTCCCAAAAGACCATGAAGAAATATTTCTAAAGATATTTAAATGCCTCTTCTGTGTAGAACATTATATGCGTTCATAGATCTTTTAACAGATCATTAAAAATATAACAACTTACTTATTGTGTTTTTCGAGTCAGTATTTATTTTATGAATCAAAAGCAAGGAAAAACATAAGATCATTAAAGAAGTAAAATAAGTATTTCGCAGAGAATAATATACATCTCAATTTAGTCTTTTTCTATGTGGGTGCTCCAGAATTGCTCACAAGTATCCTTTTTTATATGTGTATCGATTAGGGCAACTTTTATTGGGCCTAAAGTCATCGCACCACTATTGTTGTTTTAAGCTTTTCGCAGAGTTTTCTTTATAGTTATTCCCGTATCGGACGAGTCGAGTTCTGCTGCAGAGTTGCTGCCGACAGCTCCATATATAAAATCTCCGCTGTCAATTCAACCCATCCGAACTCATGAAATCCTGCAGTTTGCATTATAAAAAATAAAATTGAAAGACTACATCCGAGAAAAAAAATAACCGCTAGAAAGTGGTCCGGATTTCAAAAACAGTCACACAAAGTATGGTTGTAAATTTAAATACTTCGATTTTCAAACAATGCTGTGTCGCTCTTCTCCGAAGTAGATAATGGAATTTCATAAAACTCCTGGCAGATCATAGAAAAAGTATAACTTCCTTGCTCCGTTTTTCGAGACATTATTTATTTTACGAATCAGAAGCAAGAAAAAAAATCCTGAAAGACGTTATATAAGTATTTATTAGAGACTCGATTTAATCTTTTCCTCTGTGAGTGCACCAGAATTGCTCAAAAGTATCCGTTTTCATATCTATATCGATCAGGTCAACTTTCATCGGACTGAAACTCATCACATCACAACCGTTCTTTCACGCTTTTTACTGCAGAGCGTTCGGACGAGTCGAGTTCTGCTGCAGAGTTGCTGCCGACAGCGTCTACCGATGCCATTTGGAGTTCCATAAAATCTCCGCTGTCTTTTCAGTGTATTCGAACCCGTGAAATACTGCCGTTTCGTCATAAAAATAAAACCGAAAGACGCCATCCAAGAAAAAATAACCGCTACAAAGTTCTCTGGATTTCAAAAAGGGTCGGGCAGAGTATGGTTGTAAATTTAAATACTTCCATTTTCAAATAGCGCTGCGTCGCTCTTTTCAAGTCCACCTTGACTAATAAAGAGGTTCGCTAAGCACAGATTAAATTTTATAGAAATGTAAATTTTAGCAGAAGGGAGATCACGGAAGCACTTTTCGGTGTTACTAGGTCTCGATATTATTATTTGTATATGTAACATGAAAGTGTTTTAAAAGTTTAGAAACATTTTCTGGGGCTAATATGGATCTTTATATTTACTGGAACTTCGTAACTTTTCTTTTATACATTATTAATGTCTATTCTGAAAATTGAAATTATTCTTTTGCCAACATTAATGAATGAATCAGACTTTGCGTTCCCCAATTGAAGTAATTTAGACAGACATATCTCAGAAGATTTTCACCCACTTGTTTTGGAAAGGAATTCAGACACTTATTGTAGACACCAGAGACTATTGTAAAATAGTTTTGGTATCCGAAACGAAAAAACAGGAGTATTTTGAGAAATTCTAAAGTTTTTGATCTTTTAAAAAATAAGAAAAAATATCTCGGTAAAGTAGGAAATATTTTGGAAAGACATTCTTAAGAAGAATCGTTATTATAGATTTTATAATGTCAGTAATCTCTTCGAAAGGCACGTACTTAATATCAAAAAATTCTTTTCTAATTAAAATTCTTAATAAATTTATCGTTGCTATATTTTACCCATTTTTACACCACCACATATATGTAGATAGAAGTTCCACAACAGAAATACTGTTCGATTGAGAAATACTTTGAGTTATAACAGTTAAATTGGCACGCCTCTTTACTCAAAAACCTGACTTTGGATCTCACAAAATATGCATAAATTCTGTAAAAATAACAGTGCTGTAAAAATTAGAAATATATTTATAAATAAATACCATCTACCAGAAACCAAAATTTTTTAACTAAAATAGATCCAGACAAAAGTCAATGTTTACAAATAAAATAAAGCATTTTACTATTTTTTTATGGATCTCCCAAACACGAATTATGCAGACAAAACACATATTGACAGAAAGATTCAGGTGTCGCTCTTCCTTCTGTTAACAAATTTAGTCAAGGAAATATTTTCGAAATTCCAATCAAACAACATTATTACATTACATTGCACCACCTGCATCCCCGTGTTTAGAGCCACTTGGCTCCTTTCCGGTTTGGATGGATGGAGGTGAATTTTATTTTTTAAGAAGGGACAAAAACAAGTAACAGGTACAAGAACAAATGAAAATGAAAAAGAAACATACACTGGACAGAACAACATAGAAAACAATACAAAATAGAAAAAAATACGTAGAGGGAAAAAATCATAAGTAGCCGGAAGTGTGTGTCAGTCTGGGTGGATGAGTGCTCAATTATTATCCTCTACAATGAGATTGTTCTCATCACATATGAAACGCATTAGGAGTCGAAGTCGGGTTCTAGAGAAGTTGTTCGTGAGAATGTTTTTTAACCACTGTAATTTAAGTAACACAGTTGGAGTTTGGAAATGCCAGGAGAGGGTAAACGGACATTTTGTGGCATAGTGAATTGGATCTCCTTTTCCTCCGCACGAGCAGTTGTCATGTGTTCGAAGATGGAAACGAAGAAGGTATGAAGGGAAAGGCCCGTGTCCTGTAACGAACATTATCTCTTCTCTATTCCATCCTACTGGCTTGTTTGAGACCCTAAGCACTATATCGTGTGTACTGCGGCCAGTTTCTCCGTTATCCCAGTTGTCTTGCCAGATGCTTAAAGCAGCTGACTTAATCTCGGCTTTCAGGTAGGAAAGTGGCTTACGTAGAAGGAAAGGGTAGCCTTTTGTGATGGCTTCTTTGGCTAATTGGTCTGCGCATTCGTTGCCTAAATAACCGACGTGGCTTTAAGCCATTTCAGGTGAATGTGTTTATAAGAAAGCAAAAGGGCTTGAATCAAACCAATCAAACAACACAAAATAGATCGAAAAAGTTTATTTAATTTTCGAAAAACAGTAAAGAATCCAAACTTAGTTCTAGTTTCTGCCAAAATAGAGGCCGACAGACAGCGAAATGAATCTTTTTGAACTTCTCCATTTTCCTTCGAACATGAGATTGGAACATAGAATTCCGGTTTTGTTTGGAAGAGAAGAACTATGTTACCTCCATTGGTATCGTAAAAGCTACCTTTTCAATTTCGGGAGAACATCTAGTGTGGTTGTGGTCTATCCTCCAATAGTTGCAAAAATATGAGAATGTTTGCTTTTCTAAGACGGCATAAAATCACTTATGGTAAAAACATGATATTTTTTACCATACGCTGGAGGATACGTAAATGTTTTTATAAAGGAAATAGAAAGTGCGTTAAGGGAGAAAAAAGGTACCCTAAACGTATTTTAGCTCTCTTCCAGAAGCGAAATGTTCGATATCAATCATGTCTAGAATGGAAAAGAATTTCGTTTTAAAATATTCACTTGTTTGCTCAATATTTTGTGGCAGAAACAATGATAGCTTGTTTTATTTTCTGTCCTTTTAGAATTCTGGAAAAGGCGCATCTTTTTGGATGGGCTTCAACTAACGCCTATGATACGCACCTTCTAGAAGACCCTTCGTCGGCTAGAAGTAGAGAAGGGGTCACCTAGCTTGATAGTAGGTGTGAATCAGTGTCATCAGTGAAATGGCGTTAGTAGCAGCCAAAGTGTTAAGTGCTGTTGACTGATGTTAGAATAAACAGTGAATATCTGTGATATCTGTCTTTCCAAATGCCTCTAAAAACAAAATAATAAAATTGTAAAGGTATTTTTTTATATAATGTGCCAAAATAGCCGGCCCAAACGGGTGTAAGACCCATAAAGTGTCGACGGAGAAAAATTTATATATTAAAATATATCTAAAATAAAATATGTTCTTAAAATACACTTATTTATTTAAATTTAAAATTTTCCAGATATTAAGATTATATCCATGAAATAAAATTTATAAATTAAAGCAACATTTGCATTTAACGCCTTCTATTTTTAACGTTACTGTACGGAAGGTGTCTTCTCTTACTAAATCGATGATGCTTTACAACTTTGTAATTAACTTATTTCTTCTATCTCGTATGGTATTAGAGATAATAACGCTAACTCCACTGTTTCAAACCAGGTGGCGCTGCAAGTGTTTTAATCCAGTAGCGCATAGTCACTTTATTATACATAGATACCACTCTTATGAAGATAGCTACAGTCATTCGGCAGTTAAATGGGTGGTAAGGGACTTTAATGGGCACACCATGTATTATACTATTTGCAATATTTTAGTAAACTGATGAAGGCATGCTTTCAAAAACTTTTTTATTATTATTTTTTACTTTTAGTCTTATGATTTAATATATTATATAGTTCATTGTTTTAACTATTAAGGCATCTTTATTCAATTTTTCTCAAATTAACTACCAGATGGCGCCTCTCCAATCAAAACTAAATAAAATTAAGCTATCGATTAACAATAAAATTAAGAAAATATTTAAGTATCGTTGTTGTCATTGGAAACCCGCAAAAATGCTCAGAATTTCAGACATCGGTGGTGTTAACACCACTCTGACCTTCCTTCGACAAGTCACTTCTAGCTAATTCAATGCCCCTGAATAGATGTTGCATTTTCATCCAACTCTAAATAAGTGGATGCGCCGTGTGTCGATCCCGGTACCTCTCGCATGCTAAGCGAGTGCTCTACCATCTGAGCTACGCCCTCTGACACCACTCTGACCTTCCTTCGACAAGTCACTTCTAACTAATTCAATGCCCCTGAATAGATGTTGCATTTTTCTCCAACTCAAAATAAGTGGAGGCGCCGGGTAACGATCCCGGTACCTCTCGCATGCTAAGCGAGCGCTCTACCATCTCAGCTACGCCCTCTGACACCACTCTGACCTTCCTTCGACAAGTCACTTCTAACTAATTCAATGCCCCTGAATGGATGTTGCATTTTCCTCCAACTCAAAATAAGTGGAGGCGCCGGGTAACGATCCCGGTACCTCTCGCATTAAGCTCCCTAAATGTTATCTCAAGAATGTACTTAGAGCAATGGTGAGCAACGCATGGCAAAAGAATTGGGATGAAGGTAAAACAGGAAGGAAAGTCCACAACATCCTGAAGAAAGTCTCGCTTTCACCTTCCAACTGGGGCAGAGCCGAAGTGCTGTTCTTTACAGGCCACGGCCCATTCCAATACTTCCTTAAAAGGTTTAACCTGTCCCACACATTAAACTGCAGCTGTGGCGAAGAGGGCACCCCATTTCACTAGGCAACACATTGCATTCTGACGACATCATGGCATATGACCAAACCTAGTGCTCAGTTTGAGAAAGAATGGTACAGAAGCGTAGCCTCTAACCAAGTATCCCGCAATAAAATCCGTGCTATCATTGCCCACATCACTAACTATAATGACCTCTTCAGATCAAACGCGCCGTAGCCTCTACTGCTCACATCACCCTTCTGTTCCTAGATTCCCCGTTTTCATCATCTTCGTATTCACCATCTGTGATTTTGTATTCACCATCCTCCTTTTACCATATTAGTCCAAGTGGAATAGTTCACTACCTTCCAAAGAATAGAAATTTTTAGACTACCACACAGTCATCGGTTGCATATCTTGTCTGGAGACCACCTAAGTTCTGTTCTTCTCTCTATTGAAATGTTGTTACACTCAGTTGCTTTATTTTTATTTTCATGTTCTCCATGACAAAATTTCCTATCCATAATATTAATAATGATAATAGTGCCATATCCTGTTAAGGTACTGCATCTCTTTAGACTAGCTACGTAACCATTTGTTAAATATTTAGACTTCCTGTTCAATTCATCTCAACTTCTCTTGTATAACATGTTTTTCGCCCGAGCTAATCTGGATGATTACTAATTCCTGTACAGATATTGAACGATCCCGAATCTTGTATGTGGACTAAACAATGTAAACTAGCGATATGGAGACATGTCAAGAATATTAATCCTACCAGCCACTTTATATAACCTGCAATATCATTCTGTGCGAGAAATTGTTTTTTCTTATGTTTGTTACTGTTGGTGTTTTATGTGTTTGTATACTTCCTTATGTTATTCAAGATTTATTACCTGTTACCCTCGCGTAGAACTTACTTTCTGATTCATAAATAAAGCACTTACTAATGGGGGCACTGGAACAGCGGAGGGTTTTGTTCGCCTTTCCACTCCATTCTCGTCAAACTGGTAAGATAACCCAAGAGTTTATAGACATCAGGGGCATGGGGTGGCGTTAATGCCAAGGGTGTGTGAAAAATCAATTGCAAAATTCCATTTTTACTAACATGAAACAAGTTAAATGGAAAAGTGTAGAAAAGAAGATTTCTTTATCAATATAACATATGATTGATTATTGCATCGAAAATGTACGTTTCTTATTAATGAAAAATCTAAATCATGCATAAATCGGAGCACTTAAGAAAACTTCAATACATTTCTCGTCTTTTTTTTAATTCACTATCATGTTATAGTTGAGCAAATATCGAATTCTGCTTATTGTCCCAGAGTTAGAGACCCAGAAATATTTGTTCATGAAATGAGATCTTGGAACTCCGAAAACGAATCCAAAATTCTCACTTCTACTAAAATTTATTGTTGCTGCAAAATTTAGTCGAAGCTTTTCGAACATCTGCACTAGTCAAGTTGCACTTCGGAACGTCGTCGTACAGCTGCTGTTTGGAAGTCGAAGTAGTATTTAAATTTACAACTATACTCTTTTGACAGTTTTCTTATTTCCTATCACATTTTAATCATTATTTTTCTCAGATGCCGGCTTTAGATTTTATTTTTATAACGCATTCTGCAGGATTTCAGGAGTTTGGATGGGCTGAAAAGACAGCGAATGTTTTTATGGAACTCTGAATGGCAGCGGTAGTGGATGGAGGCAGCTAAACTCGACTCGTCCGATACGGACACAACCAAAAAGAACGTTTTGCAGAATAAGTGGGAGAGAATGGTCGTGATTGGATGAGTTTTGGACCGATTAAAGTCGGCCTGACCAGTAAAGGCATAAAAACAAATCATTGTAAGCGATTATGGTGTACTCACGTGGCAAAATACTAAATTGTGTCCTATTTTCTGTGAAGCACCCATTCTACTTTTTTGGTGGGCATCTGATTTTTTCCTCTTTCTTCCTTTCCATGCATAAAATAAATACTGAGTTGAGAAATGAGCATTAAGTTATGAAATTATACAATGCATTATATCTTTCATGATGATATTTCTTTTTTTCCATATGTAAAAATTTTCTTTCAATAGCTTTTTTCCCAAAAGTTATAATTTTTTTCCTCTCTCTCTCTC